TTCCAACCTGCATATTTTAGCATAAATTTTTTGGCAAAATTTGTAAAAAGCGTGTAAAAACCCTGAGACATGACCTCTTTCACACACGCACATTATATGTTAAAAGCAGCAATGCAGCCAAACAAAACGTTTTGTTGGAAATCTGCGAAACGAACAAAACGGTTTTATTCAAAGGTAAACAAGAAATTGTCAACAAGACGGTTTTTCTATATACGTTTGCAGTAAAGCTCACAACCTTAGAATCAAAAGTAATATCTGTTTCGGTAAGTCTTCCCAAACAAAATTTTGTGGTCATCGTTTAGGGGTTAACTGTGAAAAAGATCCCAAAATCAATATAGATATACATAGGCAAACAATTCGCTTCACATCAGACGGTGTAGTAAGTCTAGCAAGTAGCGCAATTTGCTAACATATTGCTCTGTTAGCCTAAAAACCAAATACGACGTCGCCATCGACCCAAATCTCAGAACAATTCCCCCATTTCACCCTCTCTGAGAAGTAAAGACACTCAGAAGTAGCCAAAGCACACCGCCAACAGCAACTAACTCCTGCAAGGTTGCCGATGGATTCCTCTTGCGACGATGTCTGAGGAACAAGCTGCTAATGCTTTTGATGCATTTTTCTTGCACGTAAGTTTATCTTCTGAACAATAATACAATTTTTACAAACAACTCCATTTTTGCTCCTTCTCATCCTTTTTACCGAAACTTACATGCCCCTCCAATATTGAGAAATGGCATACTTTAGTGATGAATCCCACCCCATTTCGCAGCGATTCAGCCGTCTGTGTCTACGGTTCAGGGATGAAACACAGACGTCACCTACTCTAAATACCGGTTTGCTTATCTGACAAAGCTAAATGGCTCTTTTGAGTTTCACCAAATATTAAAATTCGACTGTTTTTTCTTTGTTGGCCTACACTGCGACCAAATCACACATGCGGCCGTAAGATACGTCTTACCCATCTTGCTCCAACCTTTTAAACATTGTCAATTTCATTATTTTCATTAGCATTTTAGTTGCATTCCAAATTTTCCAGTACTCAGTACTCATTTTTAGCAGCAGAATGAACCGACAAAGTCGCATTATTGTAATCGAAACGTCCACTTAACAGAAAAGTAAAATTAAAAATTCAAAGAATGATAAGATGGAAAAAATACTACGGAATGAAAACAAAAAGGAGAATACTGACGGAATTTAGAACTTAGAAAAGTAAGTAAACTAGAAAGAAATGTCTCAATCCATAAAATCGTACGTCCTTCCTGCCAGTGCCGCAACTGGACCTCGTCAAGTATGACGGTTGGGGCAAAATACCGGTCGTTTATAAAAAAAGTCATTTTTGCCATAAAATTTATAAACAAAAAACAGGTAAGATGAAGGCAATGGATCAAAGTAATGGGCTTCAGACGCGAGAATTAATAATAAATTTTAAAAAATTAATTAAAACTGTGATATCAGAATTGAATCAGCCATTTCATCAAGCAGCCAACTGCCCACCGATGCAGTGATGGGCAACACCGCCTTTTATACCGCCGTAGATTTACTGGGCATCACATATCACATAACGGCGTGTACGATTGTACGATAAATTCGAAGATACGCCCCTGCGACCACTGATTTATGCCGTCAGCAGCCAGGAACACAAATCTCACCATAAGAGGCGATATGAATCAGTCCAAACAAGCTAATCTCTTATCTCTTTTGCTAAGGAATCTCTGCCAGAGACCCCTACCGAAGATAATCCTATGCTATGTCGCTGATGGGCAATTTAGGGATTAGGGGATAGATAAGACATGAGCGCGTTTATTGTGGCATTTAATTAAATACAACGGGATGTACCCCAGGCCAAAATAATTACGTACTTCATCAAATACCAAGAATTGTAATTTAAATTTTAGATGTGTGTTTATGTAAAAAGTAAGAGTTAAAAAGAAAGGAATAAAAGGAAGGTGAATAAGATAAATTAAATATCCAGTGGGTGAGATGCCTTATCGTAGTCTGGGAGTAACGATGCTTTTGATAAACCATCGACATTTCGGGACAGTTGTTTTTCCCCCAAAACGCCCATGTTTGGGACAAAACAATTTGTTCAAACACATTCTTTTCAAAACTATTATTTACAGGGAGCAAAAGAAGACGCAAACAAAAAGCGCAAAACAACTCAGAATCGAACCATAATCCGATTTATCAATCTCCAGTGATCTGTCCCGTCCTTTGTGACAAGTATATAAGCCTGTGATTTTGTTGCAATGTTCAGTGTTGAGTGGTGTTCAACGTGTCCCCGTATGCAGTCGTGGTGCTGCCTTTCGTCCCTAGCCCAACCGTTCCGAACATCGACCATAAATTTTTTGTATTGATGAAGTTGTGTTTTGGTTAGTCCAACGAAAAGCAGATTTATCCCCGTAATCGTTCAAGAATCTTCGTCCGTCTTGTCGTCCAAACATCATCGTTGGCCAAGAAACATCTAACGGTTAAAATCTTACTTCTGTCGGGAGAATCATCCAGCAGATCAGCTCTACGGGGGGAAAAAACCTCAGGCTGACCACCATCTGATGCAGCACTGGTACCGAAGCAATTGGAAAAGCTGTCAGCTACAAAAATGCAGAATCTGATTACGAACTAATAGCTGTTACAGATATCTCAATTATGCTAATTTCTATGAAACTGAAACCGAAATTCTTGAATTGTAAGCCGAACAACAGAGAGATGGCTTGGTATGCGTGGGTGCGCAAAAACGATCACTCACTTCATATCAATTCGGCAATCCTTCGCCTCCTCGCCAAACGTGAAGCAGATCCGCTCGAGCTCAGCATTCTCCAGCAACTTCATCCTTGCGACCCCACACTCCAACTCTGCTGCGTTAGACCGTCACTCTGCAAAACAGCATGCACAAGCATATCGACTGAACAACAAATAAACTGGGCAGCATCCGCGCATACACATTCGCCGTTCGATACAGCCAAAAATATAAACATTTTTGTGCTGAGAAAACGATGCTTTCATAAAATACACAGAGAAGATTACGTATTCTCAAACGCAGAAGCTAAGTGAATGCATATTTCAGCGCAATTCAAAAATCTAAAAAAAATCTCTCTTCTCTTGCAATCCAAAAACCCAGGCCGATCTCTGCTAAAACCTGAAAATCTGGACTGGTTTTTTTTGCCAAAAAAAAATAGCATGTGTTAAGAAAACCAGTCACAAACGAGAAAAAGGAGAGAAGGGCAGTTCGGACGGAAAAGCGGGGCCCACGAGTGAAGAGGAGGGGAGAGG